AAATTCTCCTCAACTGCAGCATGCAGAGTTGAACTTGGTAAATTCCCATTACTTATAGATATTCAGGAAAATCTAATTAAATACTGGTATCGTATTAGTGCCTTACCAGACAGTCATATTACAAAACAAGCCTTTGAAGAACAAAAACAACAAACTTTATATTGGTTTACATCAGTAAAAAACATGGTCTCCGAAAATATTACAAACTTGTCCTCGTCTGTCATACCTCAAAAATTACCACACAGTAAAATAAAAAACGTACGAAAAAACATCTGACAAAGGTATGTAGAGTTCTGGAAGTTGAGTGTAACAAATGATAATAGAAAACTAAGAACGTATATAAAGTTTAAAGACTAGCTTGTACACTTTTGAACCATATTTGCTCGTATATAATCTGAAACATAAAATCATAATGACTTGTTTCAGAATACGCAGTCATGTATTAGAAATTGAGAAGGGTACCAACCCAACCCAACCCAAAATACCTTTAGAAGACAGAATTTGTAGGCAATGTTGTTCCCAGAACAAAATGAAGAACATTTCTTCATGGAATGTCTTAAATACCAAACAAAAAGTTATTGAATAATATCAATATTCCAGAAGAATTGAAAAGTGATGACCAGATCTTTAAATATATTCAAAAGATGTAATAACAAGAGTTGGCAGAGCCATCTCGATGCTGGGATAATAAGAGTATTTAAAGGTGTGTTTTGGAGCAATGGATTGGCGAAAAGGCAGAAAAACAATTTCAAAAACGTTGACTTGACTTTGTTTTAGTGAAAACTTGAAGTATACATGAGGGTACGTATTATTATTTATTTATTTTGGAAACTCTATTTTTAACTGAAGGAATTAAACTAAATTAAATAATCATGTTAGAAATGACTACTGTTCAACTCCGGACGTTTAATTGTATTTAGCGTATGTTACTATGACAATCAACTAATTCGAGAAAAACAGTTGACAATGACTAAATGCATGGCCACAGCCAAATCGCTGCTTAATTGAAATAAAAAAAAATCAAAGAAAACAGAGAACTCTAAGACAGGAAGAGAAACACGAGTGATGTATTTGAACAACAGGCATTACGGCAGCCAAGTTTGTTTCACCTCGATCAATGCAGCAATACCCACGATGCACTATTCCCATAAGCGTGGGTAGGTGGAAGTTCATAGCCAAGCGTACTGCGGTCAAGAACAAGGTAAGAAATTACGTGACGAGACCATCCCGATTCATACAAGAAGATCGATACAAACTACACCACAGAGTGTAGTAGACATAATCCCGATGGCAATAGGAAGTTCGAAGGAAGCTAATACAGTTGATTTATGACAGACGAAGTACTGTAAAGGGGATAATTATTCACTGGGTTTTAATTTAGCTTATTTCGCTGACTGGAAAATGCGCTAATTAAAACCCAGTGAATATGTAAAATTTAGCATAGAACACATTATCTAAATGACGAAACCGTGAATTTAAAACCCACTGAATATGCCTGAAATGGAAAATCAGTGAATTTTAAACCCAGTAAAAATGAGTAATTTTACAGTAAATGGAAATTACTTTTCAGTCTTCGTTGAGACACAAACGTAATTTAATACACACAACTACAGTTCGACTAAAGTTTACAAACACCACGGTCAATCACACAAAGTCCTCCAAATTCGCAATTTTCGAGTTCCCGGTTTTTGCTAGAAAGCCGCTAGAGGGTTATCAAAGTACCCGGATGACAACTGTCACGGCTCTGAGTGGGGTTAAAATAACCACAGCTTCAGCGTTTACTTGCTGACGCACACAAAGTGAATTTCCTGGCTTACTTTCGAGGACACAGTAATCACAATGGTAAATTGGTATTGCAATGTTCCTGGCTGTTCTTCCAGTCCCATAAAAAAAATATGACAAAATATCCGGTGCTTTTCAGCGTAACTGAATCTTTAATGTCGGCGTTTTTATGTCTCGTCTGGTACTTCTCAAAATATAACTGGCGTGCGACAGGTTCATTCTCAATGCCAAAATCTAGGTGCGGAGACTGCACTTGCTGATTGCAAGTACTTAGTATTGTTTGCACGATGAGGTTGTCTGAATTATTAGTTTCCCGCATATGAAGCACCATGTCGATATTTAAACCAATGCGGCGAGTTTCGTTCATTTAGTGAAAGTGATGTCATTAGTTCAATGTCGGACACAGTGAGTTCATTTGCCATGTACTGTATAAAATTAGTAGCGCTTGAAGATTTTAATTTTTATTCCCTAAATCCGAAATTGTTGATGGTTCTGTTACTGAGTTTAACATTGGATCCAACATGTGGTTGTAGCATGAGTTCACAGAGGAAATATCGTAAATAGCTTTGATTAAATCTTCGTTGTTTTCATGGCATGATTTTCTTCCTGGGTTGTGAGATGACAATGTTGGCTGGACGCGATTTATTTCGTCTTATATCGATATTATCAATTTGCAGGGGATGGATTCCTTTCTCAGCTTGTCCCATATATAGCAATATCTGTGCCGACCTGTGTTGCGCGATCTTTGTGGCATGAGTCGAAATCCTAGATACTGAATAGCAGCACCACACAGTGTTTGCATGAACCATGTTCTCTATTATATTTTCAATGGAAATTATTTTTAGTTACAATCATTAAAGTAATTATTATTAACATTTATTTCAAGTCACGTCGACAAGAAGCGGAAATGTAACATATGTCATGGTGACGCTTGTAGTTGCGTCTAGTTCTTAATAAAAAAACTGACTTATGCAATGCAATTACAGCCAACGGAAATTATTTCTGAACTTGTTTTTCTTTTGGGGATGTTTCTCGAACACACTCAGCCATGATGTAAATAACTTCAGTTTCTTTAACATGGTGAAGCTCGACGGCCCGGTAAACAAAATGTCCATTTTTGTACAGAAGAAAACCATTGTCACATTGATATTCTTTTAACCTGGACAGTGTCCAGTCACATCGATGTATTAAATAAGCAAGTATATCTGCAGTTTCGAATGATGGCATGTAATGGAGGTTTTTCTCCCAAGTTTTGATAGTATACGGATCTTCTAATGTCAGGGTAGATTTCTTGTCCTGAACTGTACGGCGACGCTTGCTCGAGGTTTTGCGATCGTCAGGCTCTAAAGGGCGAACTTTTAACTCATTTGCAAGTTTCACGAGTTCAATCAGCTTGGCCTTTTGTGTATTACAACAAGTTATTCCTCGTTCTTGTAGAAACTGACGTAATTCAAATGCAAATTTTCCATTGTTACGCCTCTGTGAACAGCAAAAAACAACCCCACCGGGAGTACCCCCCCCCCCCCACGCACGAAACCTTGAAATGCATATGTAAATTAGCTGCCATTAAGAACTCGAAAATTGGGAATTCAAAAGAGATTTTTAAATGCACCGGGGAACACGAGATGAACAATTGTGCATACATGACGACTCCACGCTGTATGCAGCGTGAAAATGGCAATTTAAACTTTGCTTGCAGATTTTCACGGGCAGATTTACATAATAATACAGTTCGATAACGTGGCCAGTCACATAAAATCCATCAAAAGGGAACTGCAAGTCATATAATGCCAAAACAGTACCATTATTTCACAACTTTCGAAATACGTTCGCTTTTATCGAACTCCACTGTACAACAGTTTAATGTCTTCCCGTTCACAAGAACACAGAGCCTAAACTATCAGAAATTCGTAACACATAATTCGAGTGATGGATAAAAAAACATTTTTAAAAACAATTTTTATTATATAAATACACTTTGAAAAGAAACAAGATTCATAAACATAAATCTATTTGAATACATTCTCACTACAAATTACACAATACTTATTTTCTAGTGGCACTTTGGTGACACATTTTATAGCTACGCCCAAAATACATGTAAGTCCATCATTTATTGCGCAACTGTGACCACACAACATCATTCTGTTAACATCCACACATTTTCATAAAATCTCCATACACTTTTTGACCTTTCATAAGTAAAATACACTACAATTCACTCCAGAAAAACAATTTTCTTGGTACATTCCTACATTCTTGCATACTAATGAGGGATTCAGACACATTCCAAGCTGAACAATTTTCTTGGACTAATAACAAAGCTGGTCAATCCTTTCCCAGCAATAAAACAAGTTGGTGAATACTTATACAAAATATTTGAAATCAGAAATCATTATTATTATTATGTCAACAGTTTGTTTCAATTAATGTAACACAATTCATTAAATACCTTATTTTTCTATACTTATGTATAATGATGTTATATTTAACAAAAAATAATAAATATGCAGAGTTCTCTAGTGATTTTTTGTGTGAGTTTTATTTTTTGATGAAAAACATATTACCCCGGTATAATTTGTCCAAAAACTATAGCGCATTGAAGTTAAAAACAAGAAGCCTCTTGGCTGAGATAGCTTCGCTGTTAGCAATGCACATTTCAATTAGAGAATTGAAGACATCATCACGAAATGAACAAATCTGAGAGAGGTCCACATGTAGTACCTATATGTACAGTATCAAAGCAATCAGAAGTGGAAAATATCACTAAAATATTAATCAAAGTTAGAAAATTAAAAATACTTTATAACACCAATATTCATCAAAATTAGAGCAGGGTTCTCCACAGGGCATTATAGAGTAGGGATTCCTAACTGTTAAATTTAGCACAACAATAAATATAACAGTCATTAACATATTATATTGTTACGTAAATTGGCTGACTCTGTATGCAAGTTTTTTGGAAGAACACTGTAGAGAATTTAAGATATCATCACAAAATGTACAAATCTAAGAGAGGTCTGCCCAAGGTATATATACACCAAGTATCAAAGCAATCAGACTTGTAGTTTTCAAGAAGAAAAATTTTAAATTTGACACGAATGCCGATGGGTGCCAGAGGGACAATTACTAATATGATACGCTCCACTCAACAAACATGAATTTGCAAAAAAGTATATTTTCACAGATGTTAGCGAATAAATTGACATTCAACTCACCTTGAATATTTGAGAAATTCAATTTTTTTTGGAAAGCACAATGGCAGTATTAAAATAAATGAAACCAAAGTCAATGTAAATTTCCTATTGGTATACCAGTTCTGAGAGTAATGAGAACCAGCAATGAATTCCATCACTGTAAAAAAAACAATGATTTAATGGGAATTGAGTCATAAGTGTTGATAACAATGCATGCTAAAAACGCAAAGGCTCAAGGGTCGATGTCTGTGTATAAATAATAACACATACAGGTGACGACTCCCCCACTTTAAATAATTTGAGATTATGTACAAGATCATGTAGAGCTACATGAAAGGCCAAAACACAGAGATTTGTTCCTGTTTTAAAGTTTCTTTAAAAAACGATATGGTGATGCGATTGTTATTTTTTTTATGAAAGTCAATCTGCACATGCACGAACAAGATATAGCACCACCAACAGCAGACTCAATGTCCTCGTTTTTTTAATTTGTTTAAAATAAAAAATCCTTGAAACTGCCACACACACACACTGAGCAGAATCAGATCTATTTTTATTTTTGTATGTTTCTTTGTGATTTACATTTTTTCACAATTGGTAAATTTTCACATCAGAACCACATAGAAGTTTTTCATTTGTCTAACAACAACCACCAAACCTTCACATCAAGTATGTATAACGAGACACATAAAACAGTAATCATTTCAAACTGTGCGTCACTTTCACAGATACTCACCCTTATCAGTCTGGTCTGCCACAATAATCATATAAGTGATACAAGCACCAAATGAATAAAGTATAACAGTTGCCTGGCAAGCTAATAAGATCTTTGGCCCACATAATGATGCCACTGAATTTTCATATGTTGTAGACCCATGAATATCCGCACAAAATGCTAATACCAGCAATGCTAGCGCTGCAAATAATACCAGTATCTGTGAAATCAAATTAATTAACATATCTGACAATTAGCCCTCTAAAACCTAATCTGTATGTCAATGTTTTGAAGACCACCAGAAAGTATTATAAAAGTGACTGTAACATATTAAGTATGGCCAGAGTCTCCTGAGTACATTGAACAGTTTGTTGTTTGGATTTTGTGTGCATACTTTTTGCGTGAGTTAGTTAGGGGCTAACCTTAAATCTGACAAATTAACTTTGAACGAATAAACTTGTGGGATAAATTGATTTGGGATGAGCCAATAATAATCCATACTTTGGTGTCCATATTTTGTGATAATATCTTGAGGCAGTCTAAGCCAAATTCAAATTTTCCACTACTGAGCATGTTACTGACTACTACATATACATGTATACAATCATAGACCTTAGAAAGAGGTCTATGATACAATGCACTATAAGAGATAGCCGCCTGTTGTATTATACATTTTGTGTAATGGAAAACTGTAAGTAAGAAGTAGGATGACATACTCGTCCAAAAACACCACTCAGCAAGAGACTACGCAAAACATGCGATGTATTAGAGGATGAAATCCACTTCATTACATCTTGTAAAGCTTACTCTTCTGAAAGAAAGACTCTTTATGATGAATTTAACAAAATATTTACTAATTTACATGAGATGGACAAAACAGAAAAATTCAAGACAATCATCAACGCATCAGATAAACATTTACTGAAAACACTAATCCAATACTGTACATTGATAATGCAAACATTCAGTAACTTTCTTTGTTTTTTGATACTTATTATAATTAATTTGTGTTCATGTTTATTAATTTAACTTTATTACTCAGAGCCCAAAAAAAGATTGTAATTTCTTTACGGTGATAATAAAGTGTTATTGTATTGTATAACATTTTCATCCCATATCACCAAGCAAAGTTTTGAGATATGAATAAAAATTCTCACAATAGAAACCAGTATAAAAATTACAATTTAGACCATTTTTTATATTTCGGACCGATAACCCAAATTTTTTTAATTTTTGGTATTCTTATGGCTTGAAACATCTTAATACTAGTAATATGTAAATGTTTTGTTATTAACAGCACGACCATTTTGTTTACATTTTAAAGCAGGTAACTATGACTTGAAAGAAGCAAAAAGAGACACCCTTGAATATTTACAAACAAGATTTATGTCTGGAGACGTACTCGCTAGACAGTACATGAACTCTCGGCCGACCTGTCACCGCCATGGGGAGGGGCGCAGTTTACTTACCACTTGAAGGGCAACGCTGATCGATATACCACCCGCGGAACTATACGCGGAAGGGAAATTCAAAACACCGGCACCAAGACAAGCGTTAACTATGATAAATATCGCTCCTAGTAAACTATTCTGACCATCGTTACTGTTTGTTGTATTTTCATCTTTGATTTCCACGTCAATGATACGACCTTGGCGCGGATGAGATGGGCTACTCGGGGAATCCAACCAGCTCGAACTCTGACTCCGCGTCAGTTTATTCCCCGTCAACAGCGGAGATGTTTCTCGCGGAACGTTCGTTTGGATAGACATTTTTTGTTCCCTTCTTTAATCATCTGTTACCTCGATTCACGTAACACTTCGACGATATTTTCGTTTAATGACATCAAGACAGAGCGGATAAATCCTGTCAACAACAAAGACTGGCATGTGACACTGACGGCATTTCCGGTCATGATTAGCGCCAACATGCGGTACACTTGTTTCAGTTTTGTTCTTTCGTCTTCGGACATTTTTTTACTGACCTATTACCTATACTGACCTGACTGTTGTTATCATTAGTAGTTTATTTAGTTTTCAGTTGTTATCATTAGTAGTTTATTTAGTTTTCAGTTGTTATTATTAGTAGTTTATTTAGTTTTCAGTTATTATTAGTAGTTTATTTAGTTTTCAGTTGTTATTATTATTAGTAGTTTATTTAGTTTTCAGTTGTTATTATTAGTAGTTTATTTAGTTTTCAGTTGTTATTATTAGTAGTTTATTTAGTTTTCAGTTATTATTAGTAGTTTATTTAGTTTTCAGTTGTTATTATTAGTAGTTTATTTAGTTTTCAGTTGTTATTATTAGTAGTTTATTTAGTTTTCAGTTGTTATTATTAGTAGTTTAGTCAGTTTTCAGTTGTTATTATTAGTAGTTTAGTCAGTTTTCAGTTGTTATTAGTAGTAGTTTAGTCAGTTTTCAGTTGTTATTATTAGTAGTTTAGTCAGTTTTCAGTTGTTATTAGTAGTAGTTTAGTCAGTGTTTTGGTTATTTCACCTTTGTAACCATTTCCACTTCCTCCGAGAAGTGTGTAAGTGTTAATACAAATTTATTATTAAAGTGCAATGAACATTAGTTCATTCATTTATAGTTCCATGGTTCATTGTAACACGTAAATTACTTGGAAGATATTAAATTTTTTTTTTAATAATTTAATAATTGTATTAATTGTATAATGGCCTCCGGCCCATTACAATCATGCAAATTAATTATTGACAAGAAATAAATTTACATTACAAAATATGTATGAAAATATAGATGAAGAGTGTGTCAATAGATAATATAAGCCCTATATAATAATGTGATGGGGATATTAATATATATATACATACAAGCTTATTAGGTTATTCTCATTTGATCTTTGATTAAAAAACACTTATAAATAAATAGAGCCAAAGAGTTAATGATTTGGCTTTTAGAGGAACTTAATAGTTGTACTAGAGTATTCAAATTTGGGGGTTGTGTCTCATTTGGAAGATACTTTTTCCTGATTGTGTCCCATGCAGTGCATTTTAGTAAAAAATGATATTCATCATCAATTTCTTGCAGGCACAAATGACAAATACAAAAACCAATGCCCTGACGGCGTGTTGAAGATAAACACATTGTCAATCATTTGTGAAAATTTCAAAACAAAAAGTCAAAGCGTCTAGGAGCTATTTTTTTTAAAGTTCTGGGATGTGCACTAAAAAGAAGCTGAGATAATTGCTAATTTGCATAACATTTCACTCAGTAAGAAGTTTGCTAATGCTCGAAATGGCTGTACATTGCATCTTACATAAAAGCAATTCCATAACATGGGCAGTATAATTTAAAACTGTCCCAATCGCTGCACCATGTCGTGCACAATATAGTCTCAATCACTGCACCATGTCGTGCACAATATAGTCTCAATCACTGCACCATGTCATGCACAATATAGTCCCAATCTCTGCACCATGTCGTGCACAATATAGTCCCAATCACTGCACCATGTCATGCACAATATAGTCCCAATCACTGCACCATGTCGTGCACAATATAGTCCCAATCACTGCACCATGTCGTACACAATATAGTCCCAATCACTGCACCATGTCATGCACAATATAGTCCTATTAAAGTCATGTATACAATTTGTATAAAAATGTTTAATTGTTGTTTGTTTGATTGTTCACTGTACGACTGGAGTGCTTCAGAACATAGAAGACTAGGTGCCTTTAATGTTGTTCATTAGTGACATCGTTAAACTTTCACCAAATAAAAAAGTTCCTAAAACTATAAAAATAAACCCTGTAAAAGTGAGAGCCCTGTTTGTATGTTTACTGCTAGTCACTTTCAGTAACCCGGCCTGGAATAAACATAGCCCTGAAAAAAACAACAGAAAATAAAAAATTATAATAATCTGTACTCTATGGAGGTGGGTTAGGTGAATTTTGTCGACAATTTCGGGAAACAAACTTAGACAATTTTTCCACAGCAGTTACCAGAATAAAGTACTCAATAAAACCACCATTTCCAATTGGTTTCTCTTCCAAGATTGGAATATTTATCAGAACCTAACTAGCAGAATTTGTTTTGACTATCATTCATTATATATCTGTGTATACGTAGTTATGACCAGAATAATATTCTACTGACCTGGGTA